CTGCAATACACATGATTGGTAAGATCCCATTCTCCATGTTATCCAACTGTCTGCGGCCCAAGGTGGTAGGAGTTTTTCTTCTGGTGGTCTTCACGCCAGGTGTGCCGATTATTATTTCTTGAATGCCTGAGCCCTCGGAGTTTCAGAACGAGGTTGCCGAGTCATCCCTTTCGATCTCGTGACCCTCGCTGTCCACCCTTCGCTGCTTCCCTGGAGTGCTTCCGAGTATTCTTCCTCGTGGTGTTGCTGTACCCGGTCGTCCTGATCCCCCGGGTGCAAGACTTGAGTTCGGTCCTCCTCTTCCTAACTGTTGTTCTACCTGCTCGCCTCCCGGGAATAGACGTGTGGGTTGAAGCGCGTTTTATGCTTGGTATGGTTGGAAACCACCTACGTATATCTGGTGGGCCATCTGGGACAAAAGTCCCAATGGTTGTCCGAGCGGGTGCTACATATTTGGTTGAGCAAGCGCCATCTCCAGGAGAAGTTGGGCAAGAAAGTCGTTCGGTTGCATGACTTGTGGCGAAGCCAAGTACGTTGGATTCTTATAAACGTTCGCAAATGTCCCACCCGGTTTGTAACTGTCTGCTCCTCTTGCTGACGGGGTCGCGACGCTTCCTCCTCCTCTTCCCAGAGGTCCCTGGTACACCGGTCTTGACGAAGCTTCTTGTGTTGCTTCCTCTCTACCCTCTCGCCCTCCTGATCCGCCTTGCTGTTGTCTCATTCTGCCTGTCCTTCTGCACTCCTCCATTGAGTGGAAGAACGTTCGACATCTGCGACAACGTGGGGTTTCCGACGAGGCGAGCTTAACAAGCAGTTTGTCTCCGTTGAAGGTATCCACGATTATAGAATCCTTCATGTTTTTTCTGGTCTGCGGATTCAGGTCAAACTTGATGTTTACCAGCGCCGGTCTCATTCGGTCTTGTTCAGGCAGATATACCTGAGTGATTGGGCCGATAGCTCACCGTATATGTGGCTCCAAATAGAACATGGTATCCAGTGGGACCTGCATCGCGACGACCCAAAAGGTCGTAAGCTCCACCAGTCTTCGTTGCTCTCTCAATTGTGCATTCGTGAGCCATAGATTGAACTTCAACTTGTATGTGGTGCCCCCAAGTTCTACTTCAATACTTCATTTGTCTACGAGCCAAGCAAAGATTGTTGTGCTCTTCACTACGTAAGAAGCGACATTCAAGTTTTTCACCTTGCTTCTACCCCTGCTAAATCCTTTTTCAATGTTCACAAGCGGTTATCGGGTAGCTGAAAATTCAGGAATGAAAATTATGAAGTAAGAGTTTTTGGCAGTCTGAAAATCTCGAATAGTCCTGAAGTGGTAAAAGGTCTGGAAACCCTGAAAACCGCCTGTTTATGAAGGTTGCATCCTGAAGTGGTGAAAGGTGTCATGAAGTGGTAAAGTGAGAGTTTTTGGCAGTCTGAAAATCCTGAATGGTCCTGGAGTGGTGAAAGGTTTGAAGACCATGAAAACCACCCTTCACCACTTCAGGATGCAGCCTGCCTAAATAGGTGGTTTTCAGGGTCTTCGGAGTTTTCACTACTTCATGACCATTCAGGATTTTCAAACCTGAATGGTCATGAAGTGGTGAAAGGTCCGAAGACCCTGAAAACCACCTGTTTAGGCAGGCTGTATCCTAAAGTGGTGAAGGGTGTCCTGAAGTGGTGAAAGGTTCGGAGACCCTGAAAACCACCTGTTTAGGCAGGCTGTATCCTGAAGTGGTGAAGGGTGTCCTGAAGTGGTGATGAAAAATACGACTGTTGTTAACCTTCTCTCCCAATGTCTCATGTCCGAAATCTCTCGTCTTTATAAGCCCGAATAAAATCCTCCTTCACGTTCCTTGGAAGAAACCGTGCTGCATCCGTATAGATCACCGTAACTGTTCGCTCCTTCAACCACTGAACTTTCACTCAATCGATAGACTCCTTGAGCTTGAATCTGACGTTTCGTCCTTGAACTATCATTTCTCCAGGGTCTATGTCTCTTGGAAGGATACCATCCTCGTAACAGAGACGAAGGAGTTCTCTTACTCTCACATCGTCCTCACCTTGTTCTCCTGGGATGGGGGGGGGGGGGACATGTTTACTGTCCCTGTTCCCGTTTCTGGTTCCATTAGTCTCGGCGTTGCTATTAGAAGTGTTTGAGGAGATGAATGAGGAACCTAGGAAGTGTCAAGAGTCTAAAATGGATGGTTGACCGTTAGAACCAGAAGAGCAATCTTATCTTTAGAATAGAGGGAAGAAAGCTTGAGGGAAGTGTTTGTCTATTATCTGTTACGAGCAGATGTACAAGTGTAGTCCTAACTATCGTGATCGTGGGGAGGTACCTGTTAGACACGTGTCATCAAAACTAGCAGGAGTACTAACCTTCGTCAATATCCCCGGTCTTGCTTAGAGGTGCGGGCTAGATGATGTCACTCACAGACCACCATCATGTTGACTACGGGAGCTGTTGGCCTACGTTCTCCGTTACCGGTCGAACAACGCTTGGTCAGAGCGCAAATTAGCTCTGGTTGAAGCGCTATCGGACCTCTCTCCCCCTTCGCAATGTATCTCCTAGCCAAGTATTCTACCATTTTCAGATTTTTCTTCGAATCCTTCTGAGCACGAAAAGTCGTCAAAGTTGCCTCTTGCAAACTGCGGGACTGGACCCGCCGGTACCCCTTTTGTGTAGGGGCCTAGTGGAAGGTAACGTTCACGCCCGTCCGGACCAGACCCTGCCTCAACGCCTGGGCCTGAGGGCATTGGGCCTTTTTCCTTTTGGGGTCCGCTTCCACCCGAGGACCGGTCCTTCCTTTTTCCGAAAGTCACGGTTCTACAAGAGCTAGCTGTAGGTAGTCCGCAATATCTTGAAGGACCTGTCCCCCAATTTTTTTCCCCTCCTAAGAACCCACTTGCATACATGGTCGTCCGCCGCCAAAAATACGACACCTTGACACAGACGCCGAAGCCCACTATACCGCAACCTTAGGGTTGCGAACGCAACCCTACAGGCTGGGAACACCATCCGTGTATTTCCTGACTGATCCTGTGCTCCATTGTGGCCACCTAATAAATCCTGGAACCTCCTTCTGAGACAGTGCGCGGTATGCGGTAATGAGCTTTAGTGGAGTGCAATTACGTTCTACCTGGTTGAGGAGGGTGATTAAGGGGTATAAGAGGTTCATAATCGGAAGGTCTTACATGTTTTCTCACGGACCCTGGTTTCCTTCTGATGCACCTGGACTATTTTTAGTAATTTCGTTCTGTTTCTGCCTGTCTTCATAATGAGTCGTCAGTTTTGCATTGAGGATTTGCTGGCAGCTGGGCCTGTTGTTGCTCTTTCAAATGGTCGGGCGAGGTCGGATGGTTGAATTCAGCCAATGAAGAATTTTAACAAAACTCTAGGATGAGATCCTGGGTTCCGTGGAATGTTTTCTTATTGGAATGAATGGACCTGGTCCCAATAGTAAGCTGGTTACAGGGCTGATCAAATCTCATCACGGAGATATCTGGAGATAGATAGACAACCTTTAGATTCACTGCTTTTATTAAATCCTAGTATAAAGGCGTGCTCTGTGTTAGCATTTTCAGATGGTGTGGTTGGTAGAGAGTCGTGCCTCTTCTGCGAAAGTCTTTTCTTAGTACGTTTTCACGTTTTTGCGTTCGGTTCCTGGCTCTCGAGCATGAAGAAGACTGAGAGATTATAGGAGGCAGATTCTATGCTTGTGTTCCCACTGACGGTTACTCTTAGGCCTTTTGTTCCATTATGACAATTCGACAGTAAGACCGTGACCGAGCGTTAATGGCCATTTCCTTGAATTGGACTCGAACGGAAAAGGAAAAAAGTAACGACAACGTTTCTTTGTTATATGGTACGGTATGATGGTAACGAGAAATTACACAACCGATAGCATTCCGCTTGGGCATGCTCACGGTAGGACTCAGATAACGAGAGCTCGATAACATAGAGGATTCCATGTCGGCATACACTCTCGGTAGGCAGGAATTTCCTGCAGGTATCTGACCACAGTTATGTCCACATTCGGTAGACAATCTAAGCACAGAATTGGTGGAATTTCGAGGGATTGCATTTGAAGATCCAAGGGTGCGTGGTGGGAAACCCGTCAAGGTGGTTCTGGCTTGCTTTGGACTGCAGGCGACTTTTGAGTTGCCCGCCCTATACTGTGCAGTTGGATTTGTTTTAGGGCTTTGAGACCCCCCCAAGTACTGGGAGTTTTTATTGGACCGAGTTAGGTCTGATACTTGTTTTGATGATGGAGAAAGTTGTTGAGTTTGAAGATTAAACCTGCCCTACAAGTCCACAGTTCTAATGTCCTTTGGGGGATGGAACTCTGGTCGATCGGTTAACTCTGCTGAGTTGATGAGCTTCAAGTCTAATTAATGGTTTTTGGTGATTGGCATAGAGATACTGGAGGCATTAGGCTTGCCAGGGTGGGTTCCCGGGTTTTCCAGGGATTTGAGGTATCAATGAGCTAGCCGTTGGTGGTTAGCCCCTTTTGCTTTTGCTCTGTGCTTCAAGGTTACTTTTGGAAGGTGGTCTAAGGTGGGGACGCTGGACCCGGTTTCCAGCAGGCCTTTTCGGTGATTTTTACCTCAGCCGGCTGGTATTAGAGAGTTCCTTATAAGCCAAACTGGCTGAGGCTGCCAGGATAACTCCGGGTTGAATTGTGAGGCCTCGTCCCATTGGTTTTTAATTTGAAATATTACTTTCCAAAAAAGAAAAAAAAACAAAAAAAAAAAGGAATTCTACGTTCGACTAACTAGACCAGTCTGAACGGGCCATTTGGCTTCCTAACGTAGGGTTTGGGCACGTCCGATTGACGCCCCTGCTCCGCGAGCTGGTCAGCGCTCGTCAGTGCTGCTGGTCGCGCTGCACCCCACCAGCTCAGCATTGCGTCTTTTTGGGTTTCTCTTTTTTTTCCTGTTTTGTTTTTTCGTACACGCTCGCTCAATGGCCTGCGCTTTATCGTCGTATGGTAGATCGCCTCCGATCCGGCGGCGATTCATTACTTTCCTGAAAGAGTAGCCGCCTTCCTAAAGGAGGCGGCTGCTCGAAGCGACTTCGCTCACGTCGGGCTGGCGCGCAGCGCGCCGCGCACCACTGCGCGCCGGTGGGGGGACGGCCATGCATACGTGAACGCCTTCGCCGCCGTTCTGGCGGCCACCGAGCTGCCTGCCGCTTTCTCCCGTCTCATTCGCTCTGAACTGTGTGTTTCCCGTTGTTTCCGTTGTGGCGCCTGTTGCGCGGGGGGCAGGGGGAGCCGGGCGCGCATCCATCGGCTCAGCTGTGCTCCGCTTCCTTCTGCTATGGTTTGGTTTTGCCTGGCTGTACGAGTTTTGTCGGCTTCGTGCGCCGCCGTGAATACCGCGCGAGCGAATCCTTTGCGCTGCTGCGACGGCACCCGTGCTGCCGCTGCTGCTCTCTGCCCCCGTCCCTTTCGGCGCCGCTTGCAGTGCTTGGCAGTCGCCGATCGACGCCGAATCTAGCCGTCGAACGGTCCAGATTCGCCGGCGGCCATTAAATGTTGCAAGCGCGGGGTTGCGGTCGCGAGTCGCTGGCTCGTAGCCGGTGTGGAATCGGCGATGCTCGATTGGACACGTGTAAGCGGCAACTGATGACCTGGAATGGTGGGGCAGGACGGGGAAGAAGCGAGCGCTGTTGCACCCCAGCCACCGGCCCCACCATTGCCGAGCTCGCCGCCTCCGTCCTGCCAGCTGGCCACAGAACACCCAAATCACAGACATCAGCAGCAGCAGTCCGCTGGAGAACAGACGCCGGGGACTGCGTCGCCATCTCCAGAAAGCTCTACCCCGTCTTCATGCAATGATCCTCCGGCGGCGGCGCCGCCCAATTCCGGGTCGGGACAAAGCGCTTCTCCATCTTCCTCTCCGCCACCATCGCCAGATCCCCCACCGACATGCTCGGCGTCGACGCCATCGCCGGCCTCGGGCTCTCCGCCTTCCCCTGTCCCGCCTCCGGTCGTCGAAGATGCCGAAGAAGAAGTCGGAGGAGGACCGGTCGCTAGTAGTCGACAGCCTCCGGGGCCATCACAGCTGCCGTGTCCTCCCCCCAAGGTCACCCTTCCACCTCCCCCTCCCCCTTCCCTTCCCCCGCCCCCCGCTTCCCTCCCCCCTCCTCCGCCAAGCCCGTTCTCCGGCCCTTGGGGTTTGCGCCCTCCCTCGGATGAAGATCGCTTCATCGCCCCCCCCCCTGTCCATCCCGCTTACACGCACGCTTGGCAGTCGTCCCATCCATTAAACCCCCGACCTCCGTCGGAGCTAGCAACGACCCTGCAGCGACCGGCAGCGACGGGCGATCGCCCTCCTCCTCCGCCTCCGCCTCCGCCTCCGCATCCTCTTCAGCATCCGCATTTATATCCTCCTCATCAGTACCCCCATCAGCATCCCCATCAAAATCTCCCTCAGCATCCCCATCCACATCCGCATCAACATCCTCATACGCACCCCCCTCATCCTCATCAGGCCGGCATGCCGATGGCGCCACTGCCCATGCCCCCGGGGGCGCGAAACATGCATCCGCACCAGAGTCACCATCATCACCGACACGTGGACATGCATGTGGACAGCAATGGGAACACGGAGATGGTGGAGATTCTAGCGAAGATATTGTACAAGCTTCGATGTGGCATCGCTCTCCGTCACACCGAGGTGTCGCATGTCCTTTGCAGCGATCACGAGGAGTACAAGATACGGGCAGCCCTTCAGCTTCTGCGGGATTGCAGGATGATGAAGGTGGTAGTGGGAGACAGCTTGAAGACCACCTGGTACACGCTCAATTCCGACGGAGAGACGCCGCGCAGCGATGCGGCGAAGGGGAAAGAGATAGGGGACTATCTGGTGGAGAACTACAACTACATATGCAGTCAGGAATCAATGGCTGCAGCAGCCTATGCCCTACGGCGGGCCATGCCAATGCAGGCGCCGTTGTCGTCGATATCACAGGGTGGGCAGAGGGGACCGTTCTCCGCTCCGTCGCTACCTCCGCCGCCGCCATCATCTGCGCCGCATGCACTTCCTCCGCCGCAGCCGGGGCAAGCTCCGCACCCGCCGTCCGCTCCCCACACCCCTTCCAGAGCCGCAATTCGACCTCCGTCGATTTCGTCGCCGCAATCGGTGTCGAAGTCTCCCCCTCCGCCGTGTTCCTCTTCCCCTGCGGAGACCCCTGCAGTCGACTCTGCAACAGCCACACCAAGATCGAGAGCTCCTGGAAGAGGAAGAGGCAAGGGGGGGGGGAGGGGAAGGCGGAAGTTGTCGGATATCTCGGACAGGGTGAGTGATTCTCCGAAGCTTCTCGGTGCTGCGGGCGGGGCTGTTAAAAGCGAATCGGGCAGTTTGGGGTCGTCGTTTCAGACGCAAGGGGATCAGTCGACCGCTGGCCGCGCTCTGCTCTCCTCCCCCTCCCCTTCTCCATCGCCGTCGAAGTACAAACGCTATCGGATTGACTACAAGATTGCGAACGGTGAGCGGCAGGAACTCATGGTGATGGTGGAGGAGGCGGATGGAAGGGAGATCGAGGTTGCCCGCGGAGCGATGCAGAAAAACTCCCGCGCATGGCAGTATAGCAGCAATCCCGACTTCCAGGACTGTGCCCCGTTTTCGGGGAAAACGAGACATGATCTGCTGATGTGGCTCAAGGACACTGTCGGTATCGATATCTCGAAGAAGCAGTCAGGGCTGTGGGTGAAGAAGAAGAGAGGGAAGAAGAAGGCTATAACGGCAGCAGCTGCGGCGGGGGCGGAGGGAGAGGCGGAGGGAGAGGCGGAGGGAGAGGCGGAGGCGGAGGCTGAGGCGGAGGCGGAGGCGGAAGCAGCGGGAGAGGCGGCGGGAGACGGGGGGGCAGACGAGGGGGTAGAAGGTGCGGCAGAGGCCGCGGGCTCTTCCCCCCCGCACCCGGGGAGCGCGAGCGGCGGCGAAGATGAGGACCCCGCTTCCCCGTCCACTCCGATCGAAGGCAGCGGGGCCGGTGACATCTCCGCGCCGGCCGGGCGGGGGAAGGGCGGCGGAAGAGGAAGGAAGAAGAAGAGGAGGAGAAGGAGACGCAGGAAGAAGGACGATAGTGAGGAGGACGACGATGAAGATGCGGCGTTGCAGAATGGTGGGACAAGTGATGCAGCGGAAGGAGATGATGATGACGACGATGAAGATGAAATCATCGGTATTTCTGGAGGCAAAAGACGGCGGCATCGGTCATCGTAGCTTTTTGCTTATACGTTAATTAATTGTGTTTACAAGCCCGAGTTGTTGTTCACAACTTACGCCACTACTTTTCTTCGACCGATGGCATATGATCTATCTCTGTACCGGGCGGTAAGTTCCTCGCGGTGGGTTGTAGGTCGTGCGTGAGAGACTGACTGATATGTGAAGATTAACCCCCCAAATCCGAACTATGACCCTGACGAGACGTGTACATGATGTATTTTTCATCCCAGTGTAATAGAACGGGCGATTTTACTCTTTTGTAAGCTGTAGCGTGTTCTCCATACGAGCGATTTCGGTGGGTTTCGCTTGTAGACGTCTAGTCCGTTCTATTTAGGTCGACTTCCCGCGTTGAGCAGATATAGACATATGGTGTGTGTGTGTGTGCGTGTGTGTGTGTGTGTGTGTGTGTGTGTGTGTGTGTGTGTGTGTGTGTGTGTGTGTGTGTGNGTGTGTGTGTGTGTGTGTGTGTGTGTGTGTGTGTGTGTGTGTGTGTGAGAGAGAGAGAGAGAGAGAGAGAGAGAGAGAGAGAGAGAGAGAGTTGTTAGATGGATACACAGACGGTAGATGGGCAAAAGGGTTGCTCATTCAGATTGAGTTTTCCGCTAGCGACGAGGTTGGAAAGTGCCTTCTTTCCTTCGAGAGCGCCAATCATGCACGGGATATCGAGAATGATAGGCAGGAATTCAGGCGGGGAGACAGGAGATAAAGGAGCTGTTGTTGATACCTACTTAGCGAGCGCAAGTCTATGCGAACCCCCTTTTTTTTTTTCAAGTATCTAGTGGAAGGCATTGTAAATGAACACAACTGCATGTTCCCTTTTTTTCATTTTGCTTGCCCAGTTCTCTCCTCGGCGATCGGTCTTCCTCTTTCCCTTCACTCTGGAAGTCATTCAGTGTGGCGTCCCGACTGTGGCGTCCCGACTTCAAAACCCCTTTACAGTAACTACCGTGTTCGCCCGAATAGAACGCCCGGTGATTATAGGTGTATTCTGGGCGAGTTTGAGTCTAGATACAGCGAAAATAACCGGCGGGCGTTCTACTCGGGTAAAGACGGTAGTACCGTTGGATCTGACGGCGATCTCGGCTTTGTTTTCAGCGTGGGATCTTCGACTTATAAAACGCACTTACAGAACTGGGAGGTGGAGGTGAGCAGAATAAAAATTTTGTACTGAGAATGGAATCGAGAAGAAATGAACGAGAAGAGAAAAGAGGAAATGAGCGACAGACGATAGATGGAGACAAAGACGATGCAGTAGAAGAGAAGGAACGGGTGAGAGCGAACATAATCAGTGACTCTATAGCAGGTTCTCGGGTACACAACAGACAAGGCGAGGAATAAGTCGACATACATCCCCGAACTGATTCAGAAGCTGTACAGATATGCGAAGACGAAAATAAGTCCGGTCTCAAAAGCCTTAGGGCAGCTCAAATGATTGCAATGGCTGCTGCAAGTCTGCAAGTGAAGGTTCTACAGTTGTTCCGTCATCGTTCTCGAGAATTAAGATGGAAAAAAAATGCAGGATTGTCCGTGTGATGAGTACATTGAAAGTTGACGTCTTTAGTTGAGTCGCCGATTCATGAGGGAGTTGGAAAGCGATGTCAATCACTTGCGCGCGAGTATGCATGAGAGAGAGAGAGAGAGAGAGAGAGAGAGAGAGAGAGAGAGAGAGAGAGAG